GCTGAAACTGAGCCTTATATACACATTTGGATGTCTTCGGCCAAGCGCTGACGAAGGTCAAGAACCTCATCCTATCCAAGGTCCAGGATTTAGCAGGACTGTGTATTGTAATCAGCCTCATATGCACAAGAAGAAGCCTTTGAGATATCGTTCTAATTACGTCTCTACCACGAGGTACAATTTGATCACTTTCTTTCCCAAGTCGCTCTACGAACAGTTCCACCGAGCTGCCAATTTCTACTTCTTGGTAGCTGCGATTCTCTCCGTGTTCCCTCTTTCGCCGTTCAACAAATGGAGTATGATTGCTCCTTTGGTGTTTGTTGTTGGGCTCAGTATGTTAAAAGAGGCTCTTGAAGACTGGAGTAGGTTTATGCAAGATGTGAAGATTAATGCTCGGAAAGCGTATGTTCATAAGAGTGATGGTGAGTTTCGTCGCAGGAAGTGGAAGAAGATTAGTGTTGGGGATATTGTGAAAGTGGAGAAAGACGGGTTTTTCCCTGCTGATTTGCTTTTGTTGTCGTCGAGTTATGAGGATGGGATTTGTTATGTAGAGACTATGAATTTAGATGGCGAGACGAACTTGAAAGTGAAAAGGTCCTTGGAAGCAACATTACCACTGGATGACGACGAATCTTTCAAGAATTTCACTGGGACAATAAGATGTGAAGATCCAAACCCGAGTCTTTACACATTTGTTGGCAATCTGGAGTATGAGCGGCAGATATTTCCACTAGATCCAAGTCAGATTCTGCTGAGAGATTCAAAGCTTAGGAATACACCTTATGTTTATGGAGTGGTTGTATTCACAGGGCATGATACTAAAGTGATGCAGAACTCAACAAAATCGCCTTCGAAAAGGAGCAGAATCGAAAAGACTATGGACTATATCATCTACACGCTTCTCGTCTTACTTATTTTGATCTCTTGCATAAGTTCATCAGGATTTGCTTGGGAGACAAAGTTTCACATGCCGAAATGGTGGTACTTAAGACCTGATGAGCCTGAGAACTTGACTAATCCAAGTAATCCTGTTTATGCTGGAGTTGTCCATCTGATCACTGCTCTGTTGCTTTACGGATATTTGATTCCGATCTCTCTATATGTCTCCATCGAGGTTGTAAAAGTCTTGCAAGCAACTTTCATCAATAAAGATTTACAAATGTATGATAGTGAGAGTGGGGTTCCAGCACACGCACGCACATCGAATCTAAACGAAGAGCTAGGACAGGTTGATACTATCCTTTCTGATAAAACAGGAACTTTGACTTGTAATCAGATGGATTTTCTGAAATGCTCAATTGCTGGCACTTCTTATGGAGTGCGTTCCAGCGAAGTCGAAGTTGCTGCTGCACAGCAAATGGCTGTTGATCTTGATGATAATGGAGAAGTATCCAGTAGGACAAGTACTCCAAGGGCACGTACTCAAGAAATCGAGGTAGAAAGTAGTCATGGAGCTGCTAATAATCCTAGAATTCCTATAAAGGGGTTTGGTTTCGAGGATATCCGGCTAATGGATGGGAATTGGTTAAGGGAGCCACATAAAAACGACATTTTGCTGTTCTTTCGCATATTAGCTATTTGTCACACAGCTATTCCCGAGCTTAATGAGGAGACTGGCAAGTACACTTATGAAGCAGAATCACCAGATGAAGCTTCTTTTCTTACTGCTGCTAGCGAGTTTGGTTTTGTGTTCTTTAAAAGAACCCAATCAAGCGTCTATGTTCATGAAAGGTTATCTTCTTCAGGACAAACTATTGAAAGGTGAGAATAGTTAGACATCAATTCTTAATTTGTTGATTGTTGGTGTTAAGCACACATTCTGAACATGTATTAGAAACAATGCAGGGAGTATAAAGTTCTGAATTTGTTGGATTTCACTAGCAAACGGAAGCGAATGTCCGTAGTTGTACGTGATGAGGAAGGGCAGATTCTTCTGCTATGCAAAGGAGCTGACAGGTTAGAATGAAAAGCTAGAAAGATATATTCCGTTTGATCTTCGTACTGCCATATAAGTTTCAAGCAGTTCATGTTAAATTTTTTGCAGTATCATTTTTGAACGACTAGCGAAAAATGGAAAAACATACTTGGGACCTACCACTAAGCATTTAAATGAATATGGAGAAGCAGGGCTCCGTACTCTTGCACTTTCATACAGAACGCTTGATGAGGATGAATATTCAGCTTGGAACGCTGAGTTTCACAAGGCCAAAACTTCAATAGGATCTGACAGAGATGAGTTGCTTGAGAGGATATCGGATATGATCGAAATAGACCTTATTCTTGTAGGTGCAACTGCCGTGGAGGATAAACTACAGAAAGGGGTATATATCTATATCAGACAAGACACCTTAGTTCCATCTGCTCCATCTTGTTTATGTAAAGTTGAGTTTCACTTTTTCATTTGACTTATAGGTCCCCCAATGCATAGATAAACTTGCCCAAGCTGGCCTCAAATTATGGGTTTTAACTGGTGATAAGATGGAAACAGCTATCAACATCGGGTTAGAACGACTAAAATACCTTGAAGCAGATTTAGTTTTGAAGTTCTTTGACCAACTTACTCATTTGTTTTGAACTGCAGATACTCTTGTAGTTTACTTCGGCAAGGCATGAAACAGATATGTATAACTGTGATGAACTCAGAAGGAGGATCCCAAGACTCAAAAGGGGTATGAGCTAAGATCATTTCTCTTTCTTAAGCATGAGGACCCTATTATAGAGTGATTACACTCTCCCATCTATAATTTGGAGTTTCAATTGACATGTCTGTCGATGCAATCAGGCTGTGAAGGATAATATCTTGAATCAACTCACGAAAGCTGTACAAATGGTGAAGCTAGAGAAAGATCCACATGCTGCATTTGCTTTGATCATTGATGGAAAAACTCTTACATATGCATTGGAAGATGATATGAAGTATCAGTTTCTTGCTTTGGCGGTCGATTGTGCGTCAGTCATTTGCTGTCGTGTGTCTCCTAAGCAGAAAGCTTTGGTATTTTCCCCCTTCCCTTATGCCATGTATCTGAGCACGTTGGTTCATGAGTTTCTTCTCCGTTTAAATTTTAGTTATTTCTGTTTCAAGGTAACAAGGTTAGTTAAAGAGGGAACCGGGAAAACAACATTGGCAATAGGTGATGGTGCAAATGATGTTGGAATGATTCAAGAAGCTGACATTGGTGTTGGGATTAGTGGGGTTGAAGGAATGCAGGTTAGTTTGATCTCTCTAGAATGTATTTTCATGTCCAAACTTGTAGCAAACACACAAGAATGGCATTGTTTTTTTTGTTGCTGAATATCATTCTTCTGCAGGCTGTTATGGCAAGTGATTTTTCTATTGCCCAGTTCCGGTTTTTGGAAAGATTACTCGTGGTTCATGGACACTGGTGCTACAAAAGAATCGCTCAAATGGTAAAAATATGTGAGATGTCCTCTAATTTGATGCGTCCTATCTACTCTTAACTTTTTCTGATCTAAAATACATCTCTCTGCGTCCAGATCTGCTATTTCTTCTACAAAAACATAGCATTTGGTCTCACTCTCTTCTATTTTGAGGCTTTCACCGGGTTTTCTGGGCAGTCAGTTTATAATGACTACTACCTATTACTCTTCAATGTCGTCCTTACCTCTTTGCCAGTGATTGCCCTTGGAGTCTTTGAACAAGATGTTTCCTCTGAGATCTGCTTACAAGTAAGGTTTTATATTATCTGCTGTGAGAAGTCAAACGTTAAACCTTTTTGAATCTCTCACTCACCACAAAATTCCCTTTCTTTGTTCTGTAGTTCCCCGCGTTATACCAACAAGGGAAGAAAAATCTCTTCTTTGACTGGTATAGAATACTCGGGTGGATGGGAAATGGCGTGTACTCCTCTCTCGTCATATTCTTCCTCAACATTGGAATCATATATGAGCAAGCTTTCAGATCCAGTGGCCAAACTGCTGACATGGATGCTGTCGGTACTACTATGTTTACTTGCATTGTATGGGCAGTAAATGTACAAATCGCTTTAACGATGAGCCATTTCACTTGGATCCAACACGTGTTGATCTGGGGAAGCATTGGTTTATGGTATCTGTTTGTTGCGCTCTACGGGATGATGCCTCCGAGTCTTTCAGGAAACATCTATAGAATTCTAGCTGAGATTCTTGCTCCTGCACCGATATATTGGGTAGCCACATTTTTGGTCACAGTTACCACAGTTCTCCCTTACTTTGCCCACATATCCTTCCAAAGATTCTTGAATCCACTGGATCATCACATCATTCAAGAGATAAAATACTACAAGAGAGATGTGGAAGATAGAAGGATGTGGACACGAGAGCGTACCAAAGCACGGGAGAAGACAAAGATCGGGTTCACAGCTAGAGTTGACGCGAAAATCAGACATCTACGGTCAAAGCTCAATAAGAAACAGTCAAATATGTCAGCTCAAGATACAATGTCCCCAAGATCAGTATAGCTTCGGGGGCTTCCTCAGGAATCTCTCCTTAAAGGGGTTATATTCTTTTGAGACTTCTAACCTGTAGAAACAGTATCAGGTTCATCGATGGAGGTGGGCGCTGGATTTTGATTCAGACTGGAGACAGCTCTTTGATGCTTGTTGTGTGTGTATGACTTGGAAGAAAGTAAAAAGGAGGTTTTGGAGATTTTATTTAGTGTGAACCTTGTGAAAGTAGCTAACTGATGTTTGGGTTCTTTGTTGTATCAGAAACAGAACTATACATAGATTTTTTTTTTGTGTGTGTATACTTAGGACAGATTGCAACACTATTCCCCCTTTTGTTCCTCTCTCAAATATTTTTCACTATTCTGACATCAAACCCAAAGGTTGTTTGTGACAGAAACATATATTCTCGTGGTCCTTGATTTGCTTTAATGTTTGAGACACAAAAAAAAATTGATCTTTTGGATTTATATTATGATTCATATAAGCAACTTGTTGAAATCCAATACGAACAACAAACTGAAGCTGGTTCAGTTTAAAAGTGATGAAACAGAGGAATTACTTCTTCTTTTTAGACTTGGAAATGGATCGAACGTTGTGTGGTATTTTAGAGAATTCTCCGGCAGTTTTGCCATCTAGTAACTTCATCGTCTCATGGATCCCGACCACCTCGTTTCCACCAGAAAGCATTGTCTTTAGCTTCTCCTCCGAGAAAGCGCCTTTCTTCGTCAATCGATTCTAGAGAAACAACAAACTAGAGACATCAATTCATTGCTCTCGTGAGAAATTTCATCAAACAGGTGGTGTGCTATTTTCAAAAACTTCACTCAAACGAAGAAAAGCCAACTCTTTTTTCATCCCATTTCGCGATCTTAGAAATCAGATCAAACATTGATATATACTGGAATGACCTGGGAGAGTTTGATGTACTTGGAGATCAATAAATCGGCTTCCGACCGAATAAGCTTGGGAATACCCAGAAATGTTCCTACACCGGAAGATGGAGTCACCGGCGGTGTGAGTAGAGAAGCCGACGATGTGGCTGAAAACTGTTTTTGTTGAAATCTCCTCGCCGCAGCCGTCGCCGTTCTCAGAACCTTTCCACCTTTGATCGCCATCACTACTGA